GTGTATATATATATATATATACACTAAAGTATAAAAATAACGATTAAGTCAATGCGTATAACTAATTTATACACAGAACAAAAACCTATAAATATCTTTAAATGTTTCTGTACTTTTTCAACTTTCTCATTCTATGTACAAGTTACAACCTCTCTCTCTCTCTAAATACATATATCAATTAACATTTGAAAATTTAACAAAATGATTAAAAACATTGTATGTGAAAAATGATTAAGTGGTTAATGTTTCATCCAAACTACATTCACCAGGTTCTCCAGTAGTTTCACCCAATGTTTTTTGTATATTTATATCCTACGGTGCTGTATATGCACTTTTTTCTTATTCATAATATGCATATATATGTGTGTGTTTGTGTGTATACGTCTGTGGAGTATAAACAGGGGTGACCTAGTTCCCAATAATGTTTATAGAGGTGTCAACATATCTTTTGTTTCCATATATATTTTATTATATTTAAAATTGTGTGTGTGTGTTTCAGTGACAGAGAGTTATTGGCCTATTACTTCACATGGTGCTTCTGGAGTTAGATAAAAACTAAAATATCTGTCATGTCTCTGGCTGGCCATCAGCAGAATGTGTCACATTTATCCATCATTAACCCTATAGTGTTAAACGTTTTCCCATTATTTTCTTTATAAAAGTATTTAATACATAATTTCCATTTATACAGGCAGAAGAAAGTCCAAATCCACATGTTTAGTGATACATAGGCAGAATGGTAATTCAGATAAACAGTTACATGAACTTTGCAACAACTAGAGATTCGAGGGCCTAGAAGGTGGAAGGGCAGGTATAGTGATTTGTGGACACTGTTTTGAAGTTGAAGCAAAAACAAAACACCTAGTGTTGTTCTTTGCTAGAGATTGGTTCGGTTTGTTTGTTATGAATTTCGCACAAAGCTTCACACCGTCCCTAATTTAGCAGTGTAAGACTAGAGGGAAGGTAGCTAGTCATCACCACCCACCGTCAACTCTTGAGCTACTCTTTTACCAACGAATATTGGGATTGAACGTCACATTATAACGCCCCCGTGGCTGAAAGGGCGAGCATGTCTGGTGTGACGGGTATTCGAACTCGCGACCCGCAGACTGCGAGTCGAGCGCCCTAACCACCTGGCCATGCCGGGCCATGTTTGCTAGAGAAGAGCTGAAGATTAACAGATGATCGCTGAATGGTGGACTATTGGGTTGTGTAATTATAATAGAGTGAAAAAGGAAGTAAAATTCGACAAATTCAGGTTTAAACAACAAATTCTGTGAACTGCATCAATAAAGACACACAAATGTTTGTTTGAAAAAGCCTTAGGCAAAACAGATATATATTCTTCAATATCAAGAACTTAAAATTCTTAGAAAAACTTGATTTGTTTGTTTGTTTGAAGTTATGCACAAAGCTACACAATGGGCTGCCTGTGCTCTGCCCACCACGGGTATCGAAACCCGGTTTCTAGCGTTGTAAGTCCGTAGACATACCGCTGTGCCACTGGGGGGGGGCGAAAAACTTGAACGCCTAATAAAATGCTATTTTGGACATTGATACACGTGATGATCGAAAATATCAGTATATATATTTTATTCTTCCATTACTAGTGAAGAATATATATATTTAGTAAAATTATAAATGGATTTTTTTCACATGCAGTTACAATGAATGCAGGAAGGTTGTACACTTGCATTAATCTTATACTTGAGCCAAAGGTACATATTACAACCTGTTTATGTATCCTCCTTCCCTGGATTGAGATTATACTCTTTGCAAGTGGCAGGAAAGAGACTTTTACAATTTAGTATGAGTTGGGGGTTTATATCCCTTGAATATGTGCATTTGGAACGATCACTGACGTAGGTATTCTAAGGATTATGAGGTACCATACTAGAAGTCGAAAATGTGGTATTTTCATTATTCTTGCTCTCGTCTTTGTCTTGTGGGGGTCGTAATGCTTCGTTGTATAATATTATAGATGCTTTCTTTGTCCTTTAGGCATGAAAATGCTGCTCTCTCAGCTGTAGTGAAAACCTACTTCCAGTTTGTGATTTGTGTAAGAATAAATATTGTTGTTTTTATTCAATTACTTGTGTTTGATAGATTTTCCTTTGATTCTCTGTCGAAATTACTTTCTGGAGGGCATTTCTGGTGTCTGTATTTGACAGATACCTGTAACGATCTGCAAGATATTACTGTACACCTGGATACCAAATAAATTCACTTGATTTCAGTATCTTGTATACACTGCTCTCCAAAAAAGTAAGATCATTCATATTACTGATAACTTGTTGAAGAATACGACATCTTTTGTGGAACTACATATTTTAGAAGCACTCTATAAAACATAAAATAATGTGTATACATAGAATACTTGCACTTTATAAAGAGCTATGAAATTGTATCTTCTTTGTGCATGTAATAAGATACAACATCTAAAGCCGAAATTATTTTTATTGGAAGGCAGTGTACTTGTGCTTTATGATGATTCCATGAATTCAATAATTACATACCTTCAAAGAGATGTTAAAATTATATATATATATATATATATATATATACCAACTATGTTAAATTACCAGCTGGTTTATATATATTGTTACGACAGCGGAGGTCACGTGACCCTAGTGGCACGTCGTGATATTCTTGAAGGTTCTTGAATGCTCGAGTGTTTACTAGATGTGCGGTATTCTTGTATATAAGACCGCCAAGAAGTGACGGCAACAATAGAATTGAATTGCAGACAGAGATAGAGACGGACAATTGAGTCAAGTGCGTGAATCGGTCGTTGTGAATTATAGCGTGACTGTGGAAATTAAGTGTATTGCAAAGTTGTATTAAGAAAGAATAAACTAGTTTTATTTAAGAAAGGACTTGTATCGCTAAAGTTTCTTCGGAAAGAATTTTTACGGAACTGGTCCCATTGTGCCCAATAGTTCTTTGTCACAGGGCTTAGACTAGACACCTTCTCCCAAGCAGGGCGCAAAACACTAGCTTTTAGGAAATCAATCATTGGCTTCAAATCTTCGTATTTCTCCTGTTCTGCCTTGATATCTATATTTGGTTCCACTTCACCATCATCAACTCTTTCAGTCGGCTTGACTTCAGCGACATGGCACCTGGTTAGTTCAACCTTTCTTTTGCAGCAATGTCTGCAGTCATTTTCGCAGGTTTTATTGCAACTGCTGTTGTCTCTCTTCTTGTTTCTTT